GCACTAATTATTGAGTATCCCTTACAACCCCTGCTGGCTTCGACAGGCTGTCTCTTAGATAATCTGAATTATATAGGTTTTTGGTGGTGGTTAGGATGGAGAAGGGGGGAGGTGGAAAGGGAGGAGTAAGGGGGAAGGTGGAAAGGGATGGAGGAGGTAAGGGTGGAGGGTGGAAAGGGAGGAGGGGTGGAAAGAGAGGAGGAAGGGGGGCAGATGGAAAGGGAAGAGGAGGGGGAAGAATGGAATGGAGGAGGGGGAGGGATGGACAGGGAGGAAAGGGAGGGGTCGAAAGGGAGGAGGGGGGGAGGGGGTGGCGTAAATCATTTTCAATCATGAGACGATTGGGACTTCCGTGGCGGTCGGTTTGACTTTCCGGCTTTAAGACGGATGCCCGTTGGTCAAATACGACATAATCGAAACAGATCGAATTGGACCGAGTAATGGCTCTGCTTGGTAAACACTCTGAAACGGGTGGTTGGCGGGTGCTCTGGTGTGGTTTGCTCCTCCTTTCCTATCTACCATCTATCGCCGTTATCTCTCCTCCTTCTTATTCCTCCTTATGATTCTGTTGTAACACCTCTAATCTTCAGCACTTATATGACTTAATTGTATTGTAAGTGCGGTGAAAAGAAACTCTAACTAAAACGCACACCGTGTCTAGTGACCTCTGCTTAGCTTAATAAAATTGGATCAAGAAGGCTTCCTCATACATTCTCGATGATTTTGAACGCAAACAGCATCCGACCCTACGATGTGATGTACTCGCGATATAAGAATGATAAAATTTTAATGCGTTTCTGTGCACTTTTGTTTTCATAGAGTAAGTTAAAAAACAAAACAAAACAAAAAACAATCAGTGTTTAAGTAAAATGATAATTATAGTAGTGCGTTTTGCTATGCAGCCTATGAAATATTATATATATCTGACGGAAATTCCTGTAGAGGGCATGAGGCATAATGAGTAGACATATTGGTCTCTGAAGATACGACCTGTTCTTTTTTTTTGGGGGGGGGTGGGGTGGA